ATATATATATATTTCTTTTTTTACCTTAAGATTCTTATAAAGGAAATTTGTTTGTGTTTCATTATATGATGTTCCTATAATTACGGCAGTATTTTTTCCTTGTAATTGCTTTGGATTGATTCCCGCATCGATAATTGCTTCATAAGAATGTTCCAATAACATTCTTACTTCAGGTGAAAGTATATTTGCTTGCTCAAAAGAAACTTCAAAAAAATCCGCATCGAATTTTTCTATATTATTAATTGTTCCCATACGGCGTGGAACATCTATATGCTCTAAAAATAGATATATAAAAATAGATATATTCATTCACTTAAGGATTTTATGTTTGTTTTTGATTATCATGAATTTAATTTGAGACATACTTTTTTGTTGATAAATAAATAGTATGACAAAAAGACATATACTTAGTGACTATCTTAACTAAATAGGCGTAATTATAAAAATATAATGTATAATCATTAAAGTAATTGTTATTTTAAAAACTTTTGAAATTTAATTGGGACATTCCCTAATATAAAGTCTGTAAAGTTAAAAAAAAAATAATATCATATTTTTTCAATTTTTTAAACAATTTTAATCCACGCCATCGAGGCATGAATATGCGAAAAAACACTTTTAACAAAATTCGATCGACGCTCTAATTCTTAACAAAATTTTAAAATTTTTATTTTAATTTGCTCGATACTGAGCTAAAAACCTTTTTTGCTTAAATTTTGATTACGGTTCAATTAAAAATTGCAGACCAATATTCGTTACTATATAATTAAATTTTTTTGCTGTCTTCATTGGATCGACAATTTTTACTTTGATCGTAATCAAAATTTACGTAAAATGGGCTTATGGCTTATTCAATTTCAAACAAATTAAAAAGAAATTTTAAAATTGATTAAGAATTAGAATATCGGCCGAATTTTGTCCACAAACGCCTTTTTCCGCTTGCACCGTGCCCTAGGGGCACGATAATTGTTCAAAAAAATCTGAAAAAATCTAATATTATTTTTTTATACATGATACTTTCAAAGGAGGTGATTTAGGCAATCGATTATCTAAATTGTACCTATATTTTACAGCATGTTCTGAAAAGATTTATAACGAATTAATTTAATGGCGAAGGGTTAAATATGCAAAATAGATGTCTGGAACATCAAGTTATAATTTCTAGATACTGAATCATTTTAGGGGATGTCTTGATTAAATTTCAAACATTGTTAAAATATCAATTACTCTAATAAATATGAATTAATCACCTGTTTGCCATCGGTTATGATCTGCCCTTACAAGGTCAATTTTATTGAATAACTTTTCTTTTAATTCATTCATATTATCTGAATAAGGAAATCTACCAGCAATACCAGAAATAACAATTTCTTCATTGGAATCAATATCGTTCCATGATCTACATGTTTCTTTATCATCCATAATTCTTATATACTCGGAAAATCTAGAAAAATATTATGTATATTTATTTCATGCAAGGTTAAGTATAAGTTTACTTTTCTGTCAATTGCGTTAAGTTAAAGTTAATTAAAATAAATAAAGAAAAATATAGATGAACTCTTGAGATATTAAACTAATAATTAATTAAAAAGCGGACAATTGAAAGCTTTAATAATTAATGCACGGTAATCAGTGCGATTATATTTTCAAACATAATGTGTTTAATGTTTCACATTAGTATAACGAACGTTTCGGCTCACTTCAAGTCATCTTCAGTTATATTGCTACATCAGTAAATTTTAAACTATCAGATGGTTATCATGAGTAGTTAGTAACAGATTGCAGCATAAAAAGTCTCTTATCAAATCTGAAGTATGTAACCGTCAATTAATTGTTTGACTAAGCGAGAACTGAAGCGAAAGCTGAAGCGAAAAAAATTGCTCATTGAAGAAAATAGTTATAGTGAAATGCAGAAAAAATCATTTAAGGAGACTTATCCATTGCACTCCATAACTACACAATAAATTCAAAGAGAAACACTCTATAAAAATGTACAAAATTTTTCTTAGAATTAATTGTTTAACTGATTAATTAATTCGTATACGTAACGAACAAGATCACGTATACAAATGAACGCTGTGAGATGTTTATTATGTGTGAAAGACTGCGTTCAGCAAAAAAGGCAGCTTTACAAAGCTTTACTGTTATATAATTCTTTAATATGATTAGTCTTGCTCTTAATTCCTCACCAGATCTAAATGTCTAAAAAATGTATAAATCAATCTTAATCAATCAAGAATTTGATTGTACAACAATTACAAAACTATTTTTTCTGTTGAACGCAGCCAAAGTCGATACAAAGGCAAAAATATTGTTGATACAATGTTTTTGCCTTTGTATCGACTTCAGAAGTAATAAATTTCATTAAACTAGAAATCTGTGCAAATAGTCAAATTCGTATCAAATTCCTGCCGAGAGGAGCTACGAACGTTCAAAAAATTTTTCAGTTCTGCTTGGGATCGAATCCGGGATCTCTGGCATAGCAGTCTCGTGCACTGACGCTACACCACGCTCACATTTAAACAAATTAGATAAACGTTAAATAAATATTTTTTTAAGGCTCCTGATTAGTCGCAGTGGCCATATTGGAATCGTGACGTCAGAAACGAGAAATGACACGTTAATTTATATTACATTGTCAGTGCCATTTTTAAATAAAGACAATTTGAATGAAACGAAATGATGAGATCACTTTAAAACATTTGTAAAAATCAATGAAAACTTGTCCTTTCTTCCCTTGACAGTCAGTAAATGGTACGTAAAAGGTACGTAAAGTGAACCTATATTCGGGCAGAAACACACGGTTCGACAGTTGTTGAAACGAATAAAACATATGCTTTTACATATAAAATTCCAAAATAACTTTTGTTTTCATCGATAATTACGATTTTGATAAGTACGAGACAAGTTACATTTTCACTCTTAGGCAAATAATAATAACGAAATAGAATGCAACATAAATTTCGTTATCAAAACATCACTTTTCCACGCCTAGATTCGGCCATTTATTGTGGTGCGGCGCTGTAACACACAAGTACGAACCCATGTCCGTGTGCTCGCCTACGGCACGCCGAAAGTAAACGAGACAGCGAGCTCCTTCTCCCACTAGTAGCTTGTTTCAAGCAATCTCGGCCCTAGTAGGCATCAATAAAACGCGGGGGGCATAAACAACATAAAAATTTTAATAAATTGTAGTAATGGTATATTTCTTCCTTTAATAGTATAAATTATGTTAAAACGCAACGTTTATGAAATATTTAATTGTTTACGATTTTTCATGCACGTTATATAGTATACTTCTCCTTCATAAACATTCGAGTAACAAGAATAGTTCAATAGAAGAATTTTATCGGAAAAAAATTATAAACCAGCACTTCTTTTCAAAGAAGAAAGTCTCGAAAGACCATCAGAAAAGAAATGCTTATGTTTGAGACTCGAGAAGACTTGTGAAGAAAATATGCGAAAAAAAAATCGAATAGTAATCGAATAGAATAGCAAAAAGCGTTTTTCATTTATAAAACGAAAGGTATTGATTGTATGAAAAAAAATCGATATAAAAAAATGTATGTATTCGAAATACAAAATGAGACATGGAACACTAAGATCAATCTATTAATTCAGTAAAAAAAAATTTTTAAAAACATCGAAAAAGGCCTTTTTTTCAATCGCTCTCTGTTCATTGAGATTTAAACGCAAAGCTTTGAAATTCTCGTAAAATGTAGTCCTCTCGTAAAATATAGTCTTAATGATGAACAAATCAAGACAACTGAAAATGTTCATTAATTTTTGCAAAAAGCCACTTATTTACTAAAAATCTGTTTGCGGAAAACTTAATTTCTTCATCTTTGAACAGTCGCACAGCAATTTACAGGGATTTTGCTTCTTCAAGAGTTGCACTATCACATACACTTAACAACGAAACGATTTTTTTGCAATTAAACTATTATAAAACGACTTTAAAAAGTTGGTATCTTTTTCCATATAAAAAAATGGAAATAATTTCGTTAATATGCATATCAAATAGCCGTGTGAAGCATTCGAAATCTGACATTTTTCTACGAATTTAAAAAAAAAAAGATTACCTTCCGATTATTAGGAACCAAAATAATAAGTTTTTTTTCAATAAATCACTGTTTTCTCTAGTTTTTAAGATTAAAAGTGCGGCACCAATTTATCAAGGAAGAATTGAATTTTTACTATTGAAAAACTCTCGAATTTTTTGCTGCTGAAAAAGTTTGTTTAAAATCATTGGAAAGTTGAAGAATGCGAACGAAGCATTGCGCCACGCCGGAATGAGGGAAACAAGGTTAATAAAAAACGTTTAAAAAAAAA